TCTAGGGGCAGGGTTCTGGGGGATCACATACACACACTCACAACACACACACTCACAACACACACACTCACAACACACACACTCACAACACACACACTCACAACACACACACACAACACACCCACACTCACATCACACACACTCACATCACACACACTCACAACACACACACACTCACATCACACACACTCACAACACACACTCACAACACACACACTCACAACACACACACTCACAACACACACACTCACATCACACACACTCACAACACACACACACTCACATCACACACACTCACAACACACACACTCACAACACACACACTCACAACACACACACTCACAACACACACACTCACAACACACCCACACTCACAACACACACACTCACAACACACACACATACACTCCACAGCCTCTACCCCTCAGGCGGGGTCTTGGTCAGGGTTATCAATGACCCCGCTCTGGTAGGTACTGTGTAGCGTGTGTGTGTTTACAGAGTTACCACCACACATTGAAGTATTGACGTGCACCACAAAACAAACACAACGACAAAGACCCCTCCCCCGTGTAGCCTGTAGCAGAGTAAGGGGGCAAGTGCTGTTAGCGAGTAGCACCTATGAAGGCCGGCACGGCACACGAGGATTTGGGTGGCCAGCACCACGCCCGGCCGCCTTTGTCTCCCTGGTGACGATGTTTAGACAACGTACCAGGTACTCATTTGAGGCTGAGACGACCAAGCGGAGGCCTTGGACGGGTTAAAATAATCTTCACTGATGGTGGGCGTGAGCGGGAATCGAACTCGGGTCGCCGGGTTCGGAGCACAACGCGCTACCGCTCCCCCCCCCCCACACACACGCGTGCACCACACACACACACGTGCACCACACACACACACACGTGCACCACACACACACACACGTGCACCACACACACACACGTGCACCACACACACACACCACACACACACACGTGCACCACACACACACACGTGCACCACACACACACACGTGCACCACACACACACACACACGTGCACCACACACACACACGTGCACCACACACACACGTGCACCACACACACACGTGCACCACACACACACGTGCACCACACACACACGTGCACCACACACACACACACGTGCACCACACACACGTGCACCACACACACGCACATGCACCACACAAACGCACGTGCACCACACACACACGTGCAACACACACACACGTGCACCACACAAATACACGTGCACAACACACACACACACGCGTGCACCGCACACGCACACACGCGTGCACCATACACACACAGATGCACCACACAAACACGTGCACGACACAAACACGTGCACCACACACACACATGTGCACCACACAAATACACGTGCACAACACATACACACGCGTGCACCACACACACACGTGTACCACACACGTGCACCACAACAACAACAACCGCCATTCGCCACTAAGTGGCGGTGACGTCACCACGACGCTTGTACCAGGCTATGTGCACCCTGAGGCCACGTGAAGTGTCGAACGCCCGCTGGCAGGAGGTCACGGGGCAGACCCAGGTGCCACGGGTCGACTGACTGAGATGACTGGCTGATGCACCACCTGTGCCCCCTACTGTGCCATACTGCTGTGCTTTAGCCACCCGGCGCTCTGCTCGTTGTTGTGAGCGTCGCTCCTTCGTAGGCAGGCCAGCCTAAATGTTTCTAACCGGCGAAGATGTTCCATTAGGGGGGTCCACGTTTCGCAAGCGTAGAGAAGGGAGGGAATGACCGTGGCCGAGAAGACCTGAAGCTTAGTGCGGAGCGACAGACCAGGTAGCTTCCACACAGCGTTACGCAACCGATGAAAAGATATTGCCGCTCGACTGATTCGGAGTGAGACCTCTGCTGTTAAACTGGAGCCAGTCATAAGCACACTGCCCAGGTATGGGAAACTCTCCACTCTCTCCACAACTGCCCCATCACCGATTGGGAGTTGTGGGGGTGGAGTGTCCGATGGTACAAAATACCCAGGCAGGTGCTTAGTTTTGGTGGGGCTGATGGTAAGGCCCCACCTCTTAGTGGCACGCTCCAGTCTCAGCAGCAGCGTCTCCAACTCCTCCTCTGACTGAGCAGCTATTACCAAATCATCAGCATACATAACGTGGTTGAGCAATAGGGAGCCATCCCTTGACCGCACCCGGGCATCGATTAGCCTCCCATTATATCTGTACCATATGGAGATTCCCCCGGTACAGCTATTGAAGGCTTCACGAACTACGTGGTCAAAATAGATGTTAAATAATGTGGGAGCCAGAGGACATCCCTGTCGCACCCCAAGGTGTATAGGGAATGGCTCTGACTCCCGGCCACGTAGTTTTACCCGAGCCCGCTCACCATCATGAAGGTCCTTAATGATCGTGAGCAGAGGGTCAGGTACTCCAAAAGCACGAAGAACGACCCAGAGCCCAGGCCTACTGATGGTATCATAGGCCTTGACCAGGTCAATAAAGCAGAGATGTAGGTCTTGTTGGAATTCCCTACACCTCTGCTGTAGCAGACGGACAGAAAATATGGCATCTGTGCAGGACCGCCCTTTCCTGAAACCGCATTGGGGCTCCGCAAGCCTCTCCTCAGCGTGCCTGGCAAGGCGATGCTGAATAATCCTTGCCAGGACCTTTCCCGGCACACTGAGGAGTGGGATGCCCCTGTAGTTGTTACAGTCTGTGCGGTCCCCCTTCTTAAAAAGGGGGACCACCAGGGCATCCTTCCAATCCTGCGGAACCCGTCCAGTGGTCCAGACTGTTGTTATGATGTCATATAGGGCAGTCTGTGCACAAACGCCACCCTCCCTCAGCATTTCGCTTGGGAGATCATCTCTGCCCGCTGCCTTTCCTGGTCTCAGACTCCGGATCGCCTTCAATACTTCCTCAGCAGATGGCACCTCAGCCAGCCACTCACAGGGGGTGACTTCATCCAATATTTGAGACACCGCAGCCTCAGCAGGGTCATCCTCACTTTGTGCCACGATTTTTCCTGGCTGAGGGATTTTCCCTCACCCAGGACCTCACAGAAATGCTCAGCAAATCTGCGAACCTGTTCCTGGGGGTCGGAAATTGGATCACCGTTTTTTCCCCTAATGATGGTAATAGGTGTGGCGCTGCAGGTTACTTTTTTGATGGAGTTAAATAGAGATTTGTGATCACGGGCCACTGAGGCAGACTCCATCTCCTCAGCAACCCGCGACCACCACCCATCCTTGCAGCGCCTCACGGCTCTCCGAACCTCCGAGCGAAGGCTGCGGTAAGCCTCCTCATTCTCTGACGTGGGATTCTGTAGCCGATGACAGTGGGCCTGTCGCTTTTTCTCCACCATCCTGAACAACTCCTCTGTCAGCCAGGGTGTCTGGGGAGGTCTGGACCGCGTACCCAAAGCAGCCATTGCAGCTGCATGAGTCACAGTCCTAAACCTCGCCCATTTACCCTCGACATCAGGAGGAGTCGGGGACGATGCCAATCCCAGCCACAAGCGATGATGAAATTCTCGCTTGCAACTTTCATCAGATAACTGAGACCAGGCCACTTTAGGTTGGAATGGGGTCCTGGGTGTACACCCACCACCGGAGTGGAAGAATGGCAGGCGCATCTTACAGATGACTAGTCGATGGTCAGAGGGCAGATCAGCTCCACGGTAGGTCCTGGTGTCAAGGACATGGGCTCGCATTCGCTGGTCCGTCACTATGTAGTCCAGCAGATGTTCTTGCTTGGACCCGGCATGCATCCATGATGTTGTGTGGATGCGCCGATGCCGGAACAGCGTGTTGGTAATTACAAGCCCATGGGCTGCACAAAAATCTAGCAGCCTCCTACCGTTGTTATTGAGCTGATCTGGCCCATGCCCTCCAATCACTCCAGACCAGGTGCCAGTATCATGACCAACTCGGGCATTGAAGTCACCCAACATGATGACTCTATCCCGAGGGGCCACTTTAGCCAGCACCTGTGACAGGAGGTCATAGAAGGCATCTGACTCATCGGCTTTGCCTGCATCCCTCCACGGATGTTCATCTTCGGTGGGGGCATAAGTAACCACGACCACCATTCCTCGCCTCCGGTTGATGGGAAGGCGAGCCCAAAGTAGCCTGGGGCTTACAGCTTCCCACACGTCACCGCCACGCTCCCACGCCCCCCTTCATTCTTTTGTTCAAAAGAAGACCCACATCCTGTTGTTTGGCAGTCTGCTGCCCCGAGTAGAGGACTGTCCACCCCTCATGGTGGCAGTAGCCAGAGCCGGTCCACCGGACCTCCTGAATGCCGCATAGATCCAGGCGGTACCGGTCCAGCTCCCGACAAAGGAGTGGCAGCCTCTCCTCTGCAGTGAGCGTTCGAACATTCCACGTGGCCACCCGTAGTGGCTTTTCGTTGTTTCTGGAGTAGCCCCGAGGGTAGGTATTCAATCTCCTGGCTCCGCCAATTGGGGTTTGGCCAGGAGACGTCATAGACGCCTGGCCCCCTGGGGCCTCCGGCACAAGCTTAGTTGTTACATATTTCAGTTTAATTCGTGGTTTCGTGGTAATTAATTGAAGGTGAAGGGGTTACCAGCCCCTCGCACCCGTCCAGAGCCCCCGTTTAGCCCCTGTGGTGGACACATATGCCATGAGGGGAGGAGCCAATCAAAATTGGATCTCCCCCCACAGCGCTGTCCACGACAGAGTTGCCCGTCCGGCACCGCGAGGAGGTAGGGGGTTGTTTTGCCGGACCACACACACCACACACACACATACACGTGCGACACACAAATACACGTGCACAACACACACACACGCGTGCACCACACACACACGTGTACCACACACATGTGCACCACACACACACACGTGTACCACACACATGTGCACCACACACACACACGTGCACCACACAAATACACGTGGACAACACATACACACGCGTGCACCACACACAGGCATATGCCACAGTGGGATTCATGGAGGGGGGAAAAAATGTTGATGCATTTCCATGTATTTATTATTCTGTTCCCTCCACCCAAATTCGCAGGCCAATTCCGTAACTCTGTACAATCATCTCGTCATACAAATAATAAAACCGCCACTAATGTACACGCATTATTGACCCAGATGCTCAGCTGGATTTTTAGTGGTGAAATTTTACACGCACACGCATACCACACACACACAAACACACGCGTGCACCACATGCACACACGTGTACCACACACACACGCACAAATCCTCAGCATCGCTAAAACTCAACAACATCCATCATCACGATCACCATCTATCGCCCCGCCAAAGCCAGCCAGCCGCCTAGCCGTGACATTGCTCACGCGAACCCCTCCTCCGGAATGCAATAATTCGTACAAATTCGTCTTCGTATAGTTTATTTCTTTTCTTAAAAATATCCTAATTCGTGCAAACATATCAACAAATCAAACTCGGGGACACCACTGTGCGTGCATCGTGTAACACTGTGAATGCCTATTAGTGGCGGTGACACGTACATGGGATCAGCCCCGTCTCCAATGACCCGACGGCTCCACACGGGGATCTTCGCAGGTACAGGTGCAGCGCCTTCAGCCGTTGGCCTCGTGACACCGCTGCTGCTGCTGCTGCTGCCGGAAGAGGCCTCCCGCTAGGAGGGTAGCTCTAGAGATGACCCCCCACCCCACCCCACACTCCCCTCTTTTGAGAGGGGATTTTGGCCTACTCTTCAATGCGAGTCGGACATCTCGGAAGAGTTGGGAGGTAGCCCCAACCCCACGCTTTACCCCGCAACCGGTGGAGCCTGGCCGGTCGACTGTGGCGCGCTTCTCTGCGGTGCTGCTGCTGCTGCTGCTGGATAGAGCGCGAGGGATTTCAGAAACTTCGCCGTGGTTTTGACTGCCGTGCCCGGGGGAGAACGAACTGGCTATCCTCTGGATTAGGAACCCCGTATCTGTATATATATGTGTGTGTATATATATTCAGTAACACTCCGTAAAATATTAACAAAATATCTTATTTCCATGCCGTCCCGTTCCACTCCACTCACGTGGCCGTGTTTAATCAGTGAAATCAGACGGAATTCTGTTTTCGAGTCCTGGTTACGACTTCCCCACTTTGTAAAAGCCTCTCTTGTCGTCCCTCGACATCCACACATCGACACACACACACACAAGCGGTGTGTCCAAATACGCATTGTGACAATGAAGGAGTATAAAGATATAATAATGTTTTTTTTCACTCCGCCAAAAAGTCTCAAAACGCTACAGTCCCACGAACTCTCCCATTGTGTGTGTTTGTGTGTAAATAACCAAGCGACATTTCCAGCCGTGAAAACAACAACGCCCCCGCCCCCCCTCTCGAGACGTTAAAAAGGCCCCGCGGCCAAATGTCATGGAAGGTTGTGACGTCACGACATTCACGTTGAAAAAATAGACGAAGCGGCCGGCGGGATTTTAAAAACGAGGAAACGCAAAACGAAGTGACGAGGCGGCTCGGGCGGTGCCGTCGGTGTCGTCGGTGTCGTCGTCCTGCCGTCTCCGCAGCGCCACGCTTCTTCCCGCCTCTCCGTTCGCCGCCGCCGGCCGGGACCCACCAACCCTCCCGGAGCGGGCGGGGCGGAGGGGGACGGACGTCGGGCCCGTCGGGCCCGCCGGGCCCGTCGGGCCCGCCGGGCCGCGCTCTTCCACGGCGGAGGGCGGCGGAGCTCGCGGAGACGCAGGCGCGGCGGGCGGGGGCGCGGGGGGACGGGGGCGACGAGGGCGGCGGCCTTCATACCTCCGTGCTCACGCTGTGCGAGAATCCGCCAAAGTGTCCGGGCCGCTTCGCGGCCGCGGGGAATCCGTGCGGTGGCGGCAGCGGAAGAGGCATGGGCGGAGGGGAGTAGGCCACCCTCTCCCCACCGTTACGCACGCCGCCCGTCGGCGACACGTGCACATAGAACGGGCTGCGGTAGGGCGCCTGTGCCGCCGAGCGGCAAGTCCTGCGCTCGCAGCCGAGCCGGTCGTGCCGGGAGGCCGGCGGAGGGCCCGCCGCCGCCGCCGGGAGCCGCGGGTCGCGGTCGCCGCGGGGGGGCCGCTGGTGGCGACAGGAGGGGGCGCGGGGGGGTGGTGGCGGAGGCGGCTGTCCCACGGGCAGGTGGTTGCATTTCCCGTCGGCCGCCAGCTCGGAGCAGCGCGAGTCCGGGGACGCGGGACGCGCGGTCAGGTCCGGCTGCTCTCCGTCTTCGCTGTCCGGGTCCTCGCGCTTACAGCAGTAGTACTGCCGGCGGGGGAACGGGGCGCAGATTGGCGGAGCGTCACGTGCGTGCCTTGAACTTCTTTGGTACCGTACGTGGCCAACCGCGCCGATCGGAGGCGCGGTTGGCCACGGTCATCCGCGGAGCTGTGGCACGCGGCACCCCCGGCAGCTCGTTCGCGGATCGTTTCTGACGGTGCCTATCAGGCCGTAAATATACTCCGCAGCGTCGGGAGGGGGGGGGGAACGTTGTGGGCCTGCGTCACGAGATCCAAATTTGTCAAAAGCCACGCTCGCACGTTACTCCGTCGGGATGGCACGCCTTAATCTCCCCCTAATGGAGCGCTCGAGCCCACAGTCGAGGCCAGGCGCCGCACAGAGACAGCTACCGCTGGGGGTGCCCTTTCAAATGGCTAAGATTGTGATGTAAGGCGCTTGTCGTGTGTAAAGCGCGCCGTTGAAAACTCGTGGATTTTCAGTCTACGCTTTTAATCTGTTACAATGATGGGGTTGTTCCAAGTCATTCACGGATGTGAGTGGTCTATGTCGCGATTGTCGATGCACGTGTCTGGTGTGCAGTGCCAACTCGTGTGCAGTATGAGCGCATTACCCCCACGGCGGTGTCAACGTCCACGGGGGCACCGCGTTGGCGAGATGTCAACACTCTCTCCTGGTATACAGGAGGTTGTGGGTTTGGTCCCGCCCCTGACACGTGTTACATATTTGGAGTTCGTGTGTTCACGCCGTGGTGGTCACGTGGATTTGTCTCCGGGTCCTCCGGATTTCCCTCCATATTTCAAATCAACGTCACGCGTTTAGATTATCTGGCTGCTGTCCCACGTACGATAAGCCACTTTGTTGAGATATCATTTGTCGCTTTTGAAAAATAGCTCAAAGCTCAGTGGGCGTTAACGTGTAAAATAAAAGTTTAAATAGCATTGTAAACGGAACCGTTTTTAGTTGAAGCCAAATGAACACGTGACTTTGAGGTTAGGGGGGAAGCCAACCCCAGAATTGGCATCGATATCCTCCCGGTCATCGTTGAAAGCAATCCAGGAGAGTTTAATCACATAGGTTATTTTTTAAGAAAATAACGTCACATGTTGAACGCACAAAATTTGTACACAATTTTACTTTAGCCAATGACACTCCTTACACCCACACACAATACCACTGATGGCTGGATATTGTGAACGGATTTAAGGGTACCATTAATGACGTTACATTACGTTGGGCAGAAAATAAAACCATCTCCCAGAATAGCTTCAGTCAGAGTTGGCAATCCTCATGGGGTGAGGGGAGACTGTGGCCGTCAGTGACTCCACGCTCAGGAGAGTGAACTTGGGGTGGGCCTCAAGGACATTTCGTGGTGCAGGCCCCCGGCACGTGGCCCCTAGCGTGGGCCACTGGTGGACTTTGGTGGCCTTCAGTGTGGCCCCTGACGTGTGGCCTCTGACGTGCGGCCCCCGACAGCACACAGCGAGTGACAGCACCCCCCATCATCATCATCGTCGTGCTGCTGTCAAACCCCCAATGGTTTAAAATGTGTGGCGGCCCTCTAACTGGTGACGTCTCATCAGTGAAAGTGGCACCCACCCCACTCTGAAAAATTGCGTGCGGAACGCTGCTCCTAGCCCCGAAGCGCCGGCCGTGCCGTGCAGGGACCTTGGGCACAACGTGCTGGGGCTGCGAGCAGGTGGAAGCGGTGGTGGGTGTGTTAATCACCGCCGCCACTTGGTGACACTGTCGTCGAAATTCCACTCCTGCTGCTGCTGCTGCCCAGTTCACTGTTAGGGCCCGGGAGGCACAGCAGCAGCAGCGGGAGGGGGTGGATGGGGACAATCTCCCACCCCCGCTCCAAAATCAGATATTTTTTCGATAATTACCATAGGAAATGAATTGAGCTGTTATTTATTATCATATAAATGGAGCCCTATTTTAAAAGCTAGAAATGTTGTTGAGTAAATGGGCACCGGCATTTGTATGTATGTTGAACTTCTTTCACACCGTACATAACTAAATGTGCTAATCCGAGGTACGGGGAAAGGACAACAAACGAAACACAAAAATCTATTCTGAAAAAAATTATTTTCAATTAAAATTTAAAACTGCATAGCTCCAGTGGCGTCCTCATATCGGAAAGAGTGTTCCAGACGGTCGCAGAAGCGCATCTGAAAGCGCGCGACGTGGTGACCACCGCCTTTGGTCGACAGCGCAGTCAAAATCCGCTGCTCCCGCGAGGATGACCACCGGGGGAGTCCGCGTGACAGTGGTTTGTGCTCCATTGACGAGATCGGCAGCGAGGTGCCGCGGTTCATTTGTGTAAAGCGCTTCGTGTGTGCAACGAGCGCGAGCTCATCGCCTATTCGTTCGGCAACCGGACGCCAACGCTGTCGGTGCGAACACTGCAATGCAGCGGCAGCGGCAGGAGGAGGCGGCAGGAGGAGGAGGCAGGAGGAGGCGGCAGGAAGAGGCAGCGAGCGGAGCTGCAACTCGAACCTCGCTTCGCCGGCAGCCACGGCGCCACCAGGCACGGCCTGGTGGCGCCGTGCCCCTGCCGTGCCCCTGCCGTGCCCCTGCCGTGCCCCTGCCGTGCCCCTGCGGTGCCCCTGCCGTGCCCCTGCCGTGCCCCTGCCGTGCCCCTGCCGTGCCCCTGCCGTGCCCCTGCGGTGCCCCTCTACCGTGCCCCTGCCGTGCCCCTGCGGTGCCCCTGCCGTGCCCCTGCCGTGCCCCTGCGGTGCCCCTGCCGTGCCTCTGCCGTGCCCCTGCGGTGCCCCTCTACCGTGCCCCTGCCGTGCCCCTGCCGTGCCCCTCTACCGTGCCCCTGCCGTGCCCCTGCCGTGCCCCTCTACCGTGCCCCTGCCGTGCCCCTCTACCGTGCCCCTGCCGTGCCCCTGCCGTGCCCCTGCCGTGCCCCTCTACCGTGCCCCTCTACCGTGCCCCTGCCGTGCCCCTGCCGTGCCCCTGCCGTGCCCCTGCCGTGCCACTTCCGTGCCACTGCCGTGCCACTGCCGTGCCCCTGCGGTGCCCCTCTACCGTGCCCCTGCCGTGCCCCTGCCGTGCCCCTCTACCGTGCCCCTGCCGTGCCCCTGCCGTGCCCCTGCCGTGCCCCTCTACCGTGCCCCTCTACCGTGCCCCTGCCGTGCCCCTGCCGTGCCACTGCCGTGCCACTGCCGTGCCACTGCCGTGCCCCTGCCGTGCCTCTCTGCTGTGCCTCTGCTCATCAATTCGCGACTTTCCTTCGGTGCCGAGCGAACATCGGCACGCGATGCACGACAATGACGTCACCGTCACCCACGCGAGAGTTATCCCCTTTTTTATGTTGAGGCCGAACCCAGACACAATTGTGACCACACTGCAGGTAACAACAACACTCCCTTCTCTATAGTGCAGGGTTTTTTGGGTTCGATCGCGTAAATATTTATGCGATCTAACCCAAAAAAACCCTGAATTTTGGATGATTATGGTCGCGAAAGCTTACTACGCATAAAACGGGTTCCCTTCTCTTTCTGATTATTCTCTCACACTGCTCCCCACTTTGGAATTCCCTCCCATCATCATCATCTCTTTTCCCTTTCTCAATTCAAGGAATGCTTTTTACTCAAACCTATGACAACTTTGACAGCAGCGCTGCTTTGATAGCGGTGCTGCGCTTCGGGGCCTGTGCTGAGAAGATTAAGTCGGGGCTTGGGCAGGACACGCGGCTAGAATTAATGATGGCCGGGGTCGAGACAAAGGATGGAGAGGCAGCCAAAGGAGGGAGCATGCCCCCGAGAGGACGTCTAGAAACGGGGACGGAGAAATGAAATTATCTCGTGAAAGAGAGATGCATGGGCTGTATCACGGGACCAGGAGAAATGGCATTCATGGGGAGGCAATCATCCATCAGTGAATGACCAATGATGATGATTATGGCCTTACTGTAGTGGATTCAAGCCAGCAAAACTTTTTTCTAATAGATCATGATATTTCTGACAATAACCTTTCTCAATTCAATAAATATTTTTCACTCTAAGCCATTACAACTTTCGTAGGCGTGTCGCCTTGATAGTAGTGCTGTGGGCCTGTGCTCATCAACTGTGTCTTAAATATCTACGATGGCAGCCCGCACCTCCTGTACCCACCACCGATGATTCGAGCCACAGCAGCACGCCTTGAAATATTCATGGGGGGGGGGGGGGGCGGGGCAGCTGCCCTCTCCGTCACCGGTGCAATTAGTCTCCCTGATCACGTCAGGGAGCGTCAGGGCTCATTCCTGTCGCCCGACTCATGGAAATTCCACTTTCCTACGACAGGAATCATTCTCACCAGAGGGCAAATTATGATAATTATTATTACATATTGTCTCATGATCCTGGAGACGCGATTCGACGAGTCGCCCTGTGACGGGGAGTTCAACTCGCAACCTTTCACTTGCTCGTCAAGCGCGCTAGTGAAGTAGGCTAGTCCGGCAGTGCCGCTCCACTGGAATCCCTGGCAAGTTGTAAACAAGTATTATTTAAAAGTCTTTCTTAGTAACCCCCCACCCCCTCCCGCACCCGCCACGTGGTGTCGTGGTGTGAAGGCAACGTGCCGTTTACCTGCAGACGACAGTAGCACAGAACAGCGATGATGCAGAGAAGGATGACCGTAGCCAATATTCCGCCCGTGATGACAACGGTTCCTGCTGTCATCCGCACCGCTCTCCATTAACCGCTGCACACGCACAAGGACAAAGATCCCCCGTGTAGCCTCTAACAGACTCTCAGGCAAAGTGCTGTTGGCGAGCGCCAATTCGGGGCCGGCACGGCACGCGAGAGGGTGGGTGGGGGTCACACCGCACCGGGCTGCCATTGTTGCTCCAGTGCTGACGTTTACACGCTGAGACAGGTACACATTTCATGCCGAGTTGACCTAAGGGAGGCCTCAAGCACTGGTTCAGATATTCGTCACTGCCGTCAGCTGTGAGCGGGAATCGAACTCGGGTGGCCGGGTTTGTAGTCCTGTGCGCCAACCACAGCGACACCGCTCCCCACACGCCCACACACACACATTTACACATTTAAAAAGATCCCCCATATAGCCTTAACAGACTGTAGGGACAAGTGCTGTTAGTGAGCACCTATGAAGGCCGGAACGGTACACGAGGGGGTGGGTGGCCAGCACCACACCCGACCGCCTTTGTCTCCCTAGTGGCAATGTTTACACACCGCACCAGGTATTCATTTGAGGCTGAGTCGACCTAGGGGAGGCCCGGTTCAGATAATCGTCACTGGTGTTGGCCGTGAGCGGGAATCGAACCCGGGTCGCCAGGTTCATAGCGCAGCGTAGCGCTAACCGCTACACTACCGCTCCCCACCACATGCATGCACGTTAAACTTGCTTTGCGCCACACGTAGTCAACCGCGCTAATCGGAGGTGCGAGGGAAGAACAAGAAATTAAACACAAAAAGCAGTCCTGAAGAAATGAGTTTTCAACCTAGATCATGATGTAAAAGTGCATAGCCCCCAGTGTCTTCCTAATACCGAACAGAAGAGCGTTCCAGACGGCCGCAGAAGCGCACCCGAAAGTGCGCGGTGCGGTGAGCGCAATTGTTCGGCGGCCAGCCAAAAGCCACTGCTGCGAGAAAGTCCGGAGTGAAAGTTACGCGCTGACAAGCACGGCGATGGTGTTGACGGAAAAGGCAGCCCCAGCAGGGTGATGCTTGCGGGGGCCACGGCGATGACAATCCGAGTATTTAATTGGAATATTTAATCAGAAGAGAATGTCCCTGCAAGGATGACAAGGGCAGGATACGTATCACATCTGCGCCAACGCGTTTGCGTTGGCGCAGATGTGCACTGCCAACTGTGATCCGCTCCATAGCCAGCCACGATCAGTCCACTGCTGGATAAAGACATCCTCCCTTCCAGCCTTTGCCATACCGACCGACCCTTCTTCATAGCGCATACATAGACAGGTCAGAGAGTGGATAAACAGAGTTACTAAGACTGCACTTTACATCACGGGGTCTGATGGGAATTATATTTTTAGAATGTTTTCTGATAACCCAGTTTTTAAGTTGGCGCATGCATTGTTACCTATGAGGAGCTATTGAGTAAGAGACAGACCCTTCAATAGTCTAACATTTTAATGACCGTGATTCTGTCAATGCAAGCTTCTCGTGAGAGTCGTACAAGAACAACAACAACAACTCGTCGTGGAGAGGCCCTCGGCATCGTGTCGGGCACGTGGGCTGACTGAGCAGAGTTAAAGGGCCTTGAGATCAGGAAGATCATTTATCATCAAGGAGCATCAATCATCATCACGCCAACTCCCCCGGTGGTCATCCTCGGAACGGCTTTTGGCTGCCCATCGAACAAAGACGGGGGTCACCCGATCGCGCAATTATCAAATGCGCATCTGCGGCCGTCTGGAATGCTTTTCCAAGCCACTGGAGCTGTGCGCTTTTAAATAATCTCGACTGAAAACTAATTTCTTTAAAACTGCTTTTTGTGTTTAGTTTGTTGTACTTCCCCAGCATCTGCGATTAGCACAGTTGGCTAAGTACGGTGTGAAGGAAGTTCAACGTACATACATACATTAACGCGAGAGCAGAGCTGCATCCAACAGCGAAACGTCGAACACAAATTGTCAACATTTTGTTTGCTTTTCAACATTCCTCCTCCTCCAGTTTACTGAAAACCAAATCGATAGGCACATTACCCCACGTGATGACTTGATTTAATTGGCTCTGTCCGGTGTTGGAGGTTACAGATGAAAATTGGCTATATACCGACGCTGGGGTTTAACCCAAAATAAACGAATTACGAGTCATAACATTGGTCGTGAAAGCCTGCGAATCAAATGAATACTTTAGCCATTTAGAGCTTCCTGCCCCAGGGAAGTGTCCAAATCCACACTCTGCTAGAAAAGTCTCAAACCCAAAATCAAACCCAGAACCTCATCAGCGGCAGACCAGTGCCCTGACCTCTGAGCCAACCGGTCACCCCAATTACAAGCGGGGTTGCTTTGTTGTAGAAGTGATATTGAATCAGCATCGAGCCTGTGAACGTGTCACCGTGTGATTAGAAGGCGGGTCACACCAACGATGACGAGCCCAGCACCCACACCACCCGAATAGTGGGAGCCAGACCACGTGCTACATCGCTGTGCTACGCCACCGTCAGAGTTAAAGGGGCCGTCCATAAATGACGTCACACGATTTTGGTCGATTTTTTAACCCCCCCCCCCCTTCGTCACACAGCGTCACAAAAAGTCAGACCCCCCTCAAATATGACGTCACAAAGCTCTGCCCCCCCCCAAAAAAAATATAAAACATGCTTCAAATCGCTTTAAACTATTGTCATTGTAGTACGTATTTAATGTGGCGCTGCACTCTGATGTTGTAGGAGAAAACATTGATTAAAAAGTCTATTTCATTAAGTAGAACGTGTTGTCTATATTTATTTAAAGTTGCGCATTTTCGTCACACATCGTCACAAATATCTGATCCCCCCCCCCCTAGGTGCGTGACGTCATTTATTGACGGCCCCAAAGGTCACGTGGCCTTTTTAGCTATCAGCTGCGATCATTATTCTTGTGCTTGTTGTCCTTCCCCCACACCTCCGATTAGCACGGTTGGCTAAGTTAGGTGCAAAAGAAGTTCAACGTACTTACATTCCCGTTAACAGCTCCAGCTCCATCTTCTCTCAGATTGGGGGGCCACTAGAGCTAAACTAAACTATTGTTTATTTTACAAGGTAAAGCCCACTGAGCTTTACAGCTCTTTATTTAGATGCGACCTTGTCACAAATGATAGCCCAATGAAGTCGCTTATCACGTGGAAATGTACCGTAGCCAAATGCCCGAAACGCGTGATGTCGATTCTAAACGTGGATGGGAAAAAATGACCCGGAGAAAAATCCACGCGACCACCACGGGGAGAACACGCAAAGGCATCGTCAGAGTCGGGATCAAACCCACGACCTCCTGTATACCAGGCGAGGTAGTTAACTTCTCCTAGCCACCACGGCTATTGCGTGGGGGGCACCATAGCAGTGATTCACCACGAAGCAGAAGAGTGAACATGGGTGGGGGGGGGACCAAAGGGACGTTTGGTGGTGCAGGACCCAGCCCAGCAACCCCCCACCCCCCCCCACCCCCGGCAAGCGCCAGGCCCCTACCGGCCGTGACACATCGATCCGACACCCAGACATTGACAGAGACGGTGGAACAAAAGGCAGAGAGGGAGCATGGAGAGATGCGTGCTTGGAATTGCATTGAGGGACAGCAGAGAGACAGGAAGTGCTGGACTCGGGAAGGAGGGAGCACGCCCCCGAGAGGACGTCTATCACAGAGACGGAGCGATTAAATTATCTCGTGTAAGAGAGGTGCATGGGCTGTATCACGGGACCAGGAGACATGGCATTCATGGGGAGGCAATCATCTAGCAGTGGATAGATCATGGCCGACGTCGATGATGATGATGCTAATGGCCTTGCTCTAGTAGAATCCAGCCAGCAAAACTTGTTTCTAATATAGAATTTTGCAGACACTTTAGTTATGAACATTGAACGGTGGGGTTTCTCCAGGTGCTTTGGCCAAAACATCCCCAGTGCAGAACCTTCCTTGACGAACAAAAACAATTTTCGTCTTCGTGGAGATCATAAATCACCACATCTATGTCCGTCTCTCCACATTACAAGACAACAACATTTCCCACGCAACCCATGCTTTCACGCCCTTCATTCTGGGGATCCGTAACTTTTAATACGCGCAACAGTGTGGACCAGTTTCCTACACACCGTCTCGTCAGCAGAGTCAGGATGGCCTCGGTCAATGCTGGGGAACTTCAGATCTTATTTGTTACAAGGATTTTATTTTACAAGGACCCGCTTTGTGTTGAACTGGGTCCCCGCGATATGGGCACCCAGTTCAACACAAAAAACATCATGGATTGCTCAAAATAATCATGAGAATCGTATTATACTCCCGTATAATATTCTACATGTCTCCCACGAATCTCAATATTCTTGCTGTATCGTTTGGCTCTCTGCTGATGCATTTGGTCCAACGTGGCCAGCACGATCCGCTAACAACATTCAACAGAGGCAGAAGTCATGAGAAGCCCTTGGGGTATCTACACACAATCACCCATCATCATTATTCTTGTTGTCAACGTCGTCAGCACACGATGGGGATGAATGAAGGGCTCTCACCGTTATGCACCAGTCTGATTCAGCAGCATTTGTTGCACCTGCAGCGGAGGAGAGAACACAGGGCAGGCATTAGTTTCACACAGACATTCCACAGCGTGGTTGTTTAAATCAGCGCAAGTAGTGTCCGTGTGGGTGTGTAAATGTTTATGGTACAAGTGTGTAAACGTTAATGGTACAAGTGTGAGTGTGTAAATGTTTATGGTACAAGTGTAGGGTGTGTAAATGTTTATGGTACAAGTGTGAGTGTGTAAATGTTTGTGGTACAAGTGTGCGTGTGTAAATGTTTATGGTACAAGTGTGAGTGTGTAAATGTTTATGGTACAAGTGTGAGTGTGTAAATGTTTATGGTACAAGTGTAGGGTGTGTAAATGTTTATGGTACAAGTGTGTAAATATTTATGGTACAAGTGTGGTGTGTAAATGTTTATGGTACAAGTGTGAGTCTGAAAATGTTTATGGTACAAGTGTGTAAATGTTTATGGTACAAGTGTGTAAATGTTTATGGTACAAGTGTGAGTGTGTAAATGTTTATGGTACAAGTGTGAGTGTGTAAATGTTTATGGTACAAGTGTGAGTGTGTAAATGTTTATGGTACAAGTGTGAGTGTGTAAATGTTTCTGGTACAAGTGTGGTGTGTAAATGTTTATGGTACAAGTGCGAGTGTGTAAATGTTTATGGTACAAGTGTAGGGTGTGTAAATGTTTATGGTACAAGTGTGTAAATGTTTATGGTACAAGTGTGGTGTGTAAATGTTTATGGTACAAGTGTGAGTGTGTAAATGTTTATGGTACAAGTGTGGGTGTGTAAATGTTTATGGTACAAGTGTGCAAATGTTTATGGTACAAGTGTGAGTGTGTAAATGTCTATGGTACAAGTGTAGGGTGTGTAAATGTTCATGGTACAAGTGTGGGTGTGTAAATGTTTATGGTACAAGTGTGTAAATGTTTATGGTACAAGTGTGAGTGTGTAAATGTTTATGGTACAAGTGTGAGTGTGTAAATGTTTATGGTACAAGTGTGAGTGTGTAAATGTTTCTGGTACAAGTGTGGTGTGTAAATGTTTATGGTACAAGTGCGAGTGTGTAAATGTTTATGGTACAAGTGTAGGGTGTGTAAATGTTTATGGTACAAGTGTGTAAATGTTTATGGTACAAGTGTGGTGTGTAAATGTTTATGGTACAAATGTGAGTGTGTAAATGTTTATGGTACAAGTGTGGGTGTGTAAATGTTTATGGTACAAGTGTGTAAATGTTTATGGTACAAGTGTGAGTGTGTAAATGTCTATGGTACAAGTGTAGGGTGTGTAAATGTTCATGGTACAAGTGTGGGTGTGTAAATGTTTATGGTACAAGTGTGTAAATGTTTATGGTACAAGTGTGAGTGTGCAAATGTTTATGGTACAAGTGTGAGTGTGTAAATGTTTATGGTACAAATGTGTAAATGTTTATGGTACAAGTGTGAGTGTGTAAATGTTTATGGTACAAGTGTGGGTGTGTAAATGTTTATGGTACAAGTGTGGGTGTGTAAATGTTTATGGTACTAGTGTGGGTGTGTAAATATTTATGGTACAAGTGTGAGTGTGTAAATGTTTATGGTACAAGTGTGAGTGTGTAAATGTTTATGGTACAAGTGTGGTGTGTAAATGTTTATGGTACAAGTGTGAGTGTGTAAATGTTTATGGTACAAGTGTGTAAATGTTTATGGTACAAGTGTGAGTGTGTAAATGTTTATGGTACAAGTGTGTAAACGTTAATGGTACAAGTGTGAGTGTGTAAATGTTTATGGTACAAGTGTAGGGTGTGTAAATGTTTATGGTACAAGTGTGAGTGTGTAAATGTTTATGGTACAAGTGTAGGGTGTGTAAATGTTTATGGTACAAGTGTGTAAACGTTAATGGTACAAGTGTGCGTGTGTAAATGTTTATGGTACAAGTGTGAGTGTGTAAATGTTTATGGTACAAGTGTGAGTGTGTAAATGTTTATGGTACAAGTGTAGGGTGTGTAAATGTTTATGGTACAAGTGTGTAAATGTTTATGGTACAAGTGTGGTGTGTAAATGTTTGCTGGTACAAGTGTGTAAATGTTTATGGTACAAGTGTGTAAATGTTTATGGTACAAGTGTGTAAATGTTTATGGTACAAGTGTGAGTGTGTAAATGTTTATGGTACAAGTGTGAGTGTGTAAATGTTTATGGTACAAGTGTGAGTGTGTAAATGTTTATGGTACAAGTGTGGTGTGTAAATGTTTATGGTACAAGTGTGAGTGTGTAAATGTTTATGGTACAAGTGTAGGGTGTGTAAATGTTTATGGTACAAGTGTGTAAATGTTTATGGTACAAGTGTGGTGTGTAAATGTTTATGGTACAAGTGTGTAAATGTTTATGGTACAAGTGTGAGTGTGTAAATGTTTATGGTACAAGTGTGTAAACGTTAATGGTACAAGTGTGAGTGTGTAAATGTTTATGGTACAAGTGTAGGGTGTGTAAATGTTTATGGTACAAGTGTGAGTGTGTAAATGTTTATGGTACAAGTGTAGGGTGTGTAAATGTTTATGGTACAAGTGTGTAAACGTTAATGTTACAAGTGTGCGTGTGTAAATGTTTATGGTACAAGTGTGAGTGTGTAAATGTTTATGGTACAAGTGTGAGTGTGTAAATGTTTATGGTACAAGTGTAGGGTGTGTAAATGTTTATGGTACAAGTGTGTAAATGTTTATGGTACAAGTGTGGTGTGTAAATGTTTGCTGGTACAAGTGTGAGTGTGTAAATGTTTATGGTACAAGTGTGTAAATGTTTATGGTACAAGTGTGTAAATGTCTATGGTACAAGTGTGAGTGTGTAAATGTTTATGGTACAAGTGTGAGTGTGTAAATGTTTATGGTACAAGTGTGAGTGTGTAAATGTTTCTGGTACAAGTGTGGTGTGTAAATGTTTATGGTACAAGTGTGAGTGTGTAAATGTTTATGGTACAAGTGTAGGGTGTGTAAATGTTTATGGTACAAGTGTGTAAATGTTTATGGTACAAGTGTGGTGTGTAAATGTTTATGGTACAAGTTTGAGTGTGTAAATGTTTATGGTACAAGTGTGTAAATGTTTATGGTACAAGTGTGAGTGTGTAAATGTCTTTGGTACAAGTGTAGGGTGTGTAAATGTTTATGGTACAAGTGTGGGTGTGTAAATGTTTATGGTACAAGTGTGTAAATGTTTATGGTACAAGTGTGAGTGTCTTCTTTGGTTTTTTCGGTAAAGTCACGTAGAATGAGAATAAAATAATAAATTGATAAAATAAAATAACACAATAATAATATTATAATATTAAAATTATAATATTTATTATTTTATTCTCATTCTACGTGACTTTACCGAAAAAACCAAAGAAGATGAATCATTGCAGTCACGAAAGCTTTAAATCGAAATTTAAGTGTGAGTGTGTAAATGTTTATGGTACAAGTGTGTAAATTTTTATGGTACAAGTGTGAGTGTGTAAATGTTTATGGTACAAGTGTGGGTATGTAAATGTTTATGTTACAAGTGTGGGTGTGTAAATGTTTATGGTACAAGTGTGAGTGTGTAAATGTTTATGGTACAAGTGTGAGTGTGTAAATGTTCATGGTACAAGTGTGGGTGTGTAAATGTTTATGGTACAAGTGTGTAAATGTTTATGGTACAAGTGTAAAGGTTTATGGTACAAGTGTGAGTGTGTAAATGTTTATGGTACAAGTGTGAGTGTGTAAATGTTTATGGTACAAGTGTGAGTGTGTAAATGTTTATGGTACAAGTGTGGTGTGTAAATGTTTATGGTACAAGTGTGAGTGTGTAAATGTTTATGGTACAAGTGTGTAAATGTTTATGGTACAAGTGTGAGTGTGTAAATGTTTATGGTACAAGTGTGGGTGTGTAAATGTTTATGGTACAAGTGTGGTGTGTAAATGTTTATGGTACAAGTGTGGGTGTGTAAATGTTTATGGTACAAGTGTGGTGTGTAAATGTTTATGGTACAAGTGTGAGTGTGTAAATGTTTATGGTACAAGTGTGTAAATGTTTATTGTACAAGTGTGTGAATGTTTATGGTACAAGTGTGGTGTGTAAATGTTTATGGTACAAGTGTGTAAATGTTTATAGTACAAGTGTGTAAATGTTTATGGTACAAGTGTGAGTGTGTAAATGTGTATGGTACAAGTGTGGGGTGTAAATGTTTATGGTACAAGTGTGAGTGTGTAAATGTTTATGGTACAAGTGTGTAAATGTTTATGGTACAAGTGTGTAAATGTTCATGGTACAAGTGTGTAAATGTTCATGGTACAAGTGTGAGTGTGTAAATGTTTATGGTACAAGTGTGAGTGTGTAAATGTTTATGGTACAAGTGTGTAAATGTTTATGGTACAAGTGTGTAAATGTTTATGGTACAAGTGTGTAAATGTTCATGGTACAAGTGTGAGTGTGTAAATGTTTATGGTACAAGTGTGTAAATGTTTATGGTACAAGTGTGGTGTGTAAATGTTTATGGTACAAGTGTGAGTGTGTAAATGTTTATGGTACAATTGTGGGTGTGTAAATGTTTATGGTACAAGTGTGTAAATGTTTATGGTACAAGTGTAAAGGTTTATGGTACAAGTGTGAGTGTGTAAATGTTTATGGTACAAGTGTGTAAATGGTTATGGTACAAGTGTGTAAATGTTTATGGTACAAGTGTGGGGATTAGGAGCTCAACAGTTGGCGCGCTGCTGTGCTACGAACATGGAGGGTTCGGGTTTGATTCCCGCTCACGGCCAAAACCAGTGACAATCATATCAAACGATTCTGGGCCTCCCCTAGGTCGACTCGGCCTCAAATGAGTACCTGGTGCGGTGCGTGAAAACATCGCCGCTGGTAAGACAAAGGCGGCCGGGCCTGATGCTGGCCACCCACCCCTTCGTGTGATGTGCCGGCCTTCATAGGTGCTTCTCGCTAAAAGCACTTGCCCCAATAGTCTGCTAAGGCTACACGGGGGATCTTTGCTATGGTACAAGACAAAATCACGGCCGTTTATTGCACAAATAACCA